CCTGGTATTCAGCAGGTTACCTTGACACTCATCCAGACGAGTTCGAGAGTTCTCTCGAATATTGCATTACATATCATCTGGAGGGAATCTGTGAGAATAATGGTTGCAGCGAAATTCTTTTTATTCGCAGCTCACACTGTGAAGAACTTTTTTGCTCTAACCATTTTGTATTGGGATATCACACTGTGCTCGCTTAAAGGCACAACCTGCGATAAATCGCAATCACAGATAGTGCATTAGGGGTTCGCATAGACTAGAGCTGTGTAACTCGGTAATGAAAAAAAGGCAGAAAAAACTCGTCACCGTAGGCCTCCCGCCTTACAATTAGAGATAGAACCCCATTTGCAAGGGCCACTTTGTATACGTGCGCCAGTGAAGCTCCATCTCCTAACTACGCCCTCGTCCACACAGCTTATTCACTATAAGAACTCTACGACCTTACAAGTGAGCTTACGATTTTCATACTTTTTCGTTTACGCAGCTGTCGTTTTTCATTGGATGATGGGTCTTGAAGGCAGAGTCTGGAGACCGAGCCACTGGTAAAGGAGTGTCCTCTTTGGAGCCATATTTCGTTATACCACCCCTCCCTAACAACTTTCGCCATAAACCAGTACAAGGTTGTTCCTTGGCCGGACGCACTACCCTCGGCGACAACAAGCGCATATTTGCCAACTTTCAATTCGCTGAATCGTGGATCAAGCCTTTGATGTTTCCCATTAAATACGAAAATATATGCCTCGAATGAAGCTGTCACGCCAACACCATCAAAATGAATGCTTTCACTGAAGTTAAAATAAAACCCCTGAAAAGTCGCACATAGGCCCTAATAAGAAGCAGGGAGGGGTCGTGGTGGTCGGACAGGTATGCAAAACTACTTCCCAAGTGTTTAGCATGCGTTTCAAGAAAAAGCAAAACTACGAAATGCATCAAGGATTTGAACCTCCGTCTCACTACTATGAAGCCATCCACTTACCTGCTGCGCCATCGAGCCACGGCGGCGGCTGGGTCACGAGGGGTTTACGAGCGCAAAGCATGGGCAGGGGGTCGCACCGCAATGGTTAAGCACGGTAGCAAAAAAGGTCCGTAACTCTCCACCCAGAATCGTTTAGCAGATTTGGAAGTCAGATCTGATATCAGCATCCGGAGACGCTCCTAGGAATATACATCTCATTCTGAATGGCCAGGACGAGTTGGTATCCTTCCCTTGTGAGCAATCCCTGGTCACAACTACCTCTTTCGCACTGTTCAAAAAAAAGCATAGAAACGAAGATCGTGACAGAAAAGTAGCGCGCGAAAACTGCGCATGCAAAATTTGAATTACGGTATTCCGAAGAACTACTGTGGAGCTATATTGAAAGCAAAGCAGATTTACTTGTGAGCACGGGCGTCACCCTATGTCATACGCCAGGGATCAGGTCAAGCGGCTAGCCACCGCCCCTGCAATAGGACCTGCCCAACTGACGCGGTTGCTTGTCACATGGTGTGCCACACCATAATAGCACCCTCACGACCGTAACCATAAATCCTGCTTCGTACAAGTGTATCCACCATTCAGTCAGGTTTTCTTTTACTAACCGTGACTGGGGATCGCACAAAGCTAAGGTAAGAAGACCCATCGCAGACGCCACTGGCATACGAGGACGCGATTAGTCACGGTTTTTGACTCCTTCCTATTCTATCAACCACCACATATTTGTAAGATCTGCGTAGCTTCCTGCAACTGGGAGTAGTTCCATCACGAAATTCTCGAATTGTGATGTATGCTAATTCGAGGAAGCTTGCAGTCCCTGACTAGTAGACTCTTGCTTGGTAATCCAGCCTTTCAGTGTACGTAAATCTTCTAAGAAACTTTTGAATTCTAAACCCATGCTCACCATGTTATTTCACATCAAAAATGTCCATGATAGTACTTCTGACTAGCCAGGTAGAGCATTAGGATAGGGAAAAGAGCGCGAAAAAAAAAGACAAAAAAAAAACTCAAAAACGGTAACTGATTAATAAGCCACAGGAACCCCAGCTGGGCGTCTTGGGAGGACTGGTGTCGCTAGTAACCGCGATCAAAACGGCGGCCAATCACGACTGGCCTGAGGTGGACGTGTTGTTCGACCAGAAAAACAGTGAAGGCCTGACAGGGGTGGCGATTACGTGCCACCCCAAACCGTCTGACCGTCTAGAAGTGTCGCTTCGAGGACCAAACCCTAATAAGTATAGTGTTTGTATAACTTTGGAGGATTCAGTAATGCAAAGTGTTTCAGTGCAAGTTTCAAAACAGATCAAATTCTATAAATGGATGAGAAAGAGGAAACGAGCCTTGGCACAGGAACTGGCGTGACCAATGACGGAGTGCTGGTGATTACAGATTGATATTGTTTTCTGATCAGTGGTGAATCTAGTCGCTCCTCCCAAGTGGACGTTCATCAGCGACATTGATCCAGGCGACATTGGTCCTGCAAGCGGCGGCGCTGCAGGATTTGCCACAGGAGAAAGCACGAGGTAGTGGTGAGAAGTCCGGGATGGATTGCGATGTCCCCGGTTGTCCAGCAAGAGTTGCGTTTAATCGCTGAGCTTGCTGGTTGGGATACTGCTCCTCATTCTGATAAAATAAACAATTACTAATCAGACATGTGCGAAAAGGGGCAAAGGAGACAAAGACTAACCTGGAACGACTGCGATTCTGCCCATTGCGATACAGATTCGCTAGCAGGAATCGGACGGAACATTGCTTCGGGAGGAGCGGTTCGATCCGGCAGCTAAAATTAGCAGTCACTCGCTAAATTGGAAAAAGACAGAAAATGAAGCAATGGTTAACTTCGTTATTTCTTGAGGGATAAAATAAGAGATAGACTTCCAAGGATACCTCCCAACTTACAGTGAATTTTCAATCGAAATAAGCGACCACTCACCTTACTATTCTTCGTTGCACCACAAAATACGAATCCTTATATAATATAATTAATACGCAAAAAATACTTCCAGTCACCAATAACTGCCTACTATAGGGGGCTACCGCAACTTCACTACGGGTTCATTTCGATCGGTGGCCTAGACAGTATTCTCGATGGTCAGATGGCGCCGTAAGACGCGTGAAGTAAGAACCACCACTGGTTCGGGAGTTTTTAAAAATCTCATAAAGTTTTTACAATCTCAAATTTTAAAATCTCAAATCTCAAATCTGGCGCATGATTCCGGCATTTGCACGGCAGCTGGGTCAGAAAGAGAGCTCAACTGGCTGGCCCCAATGTTGGGCGGAGGTGTGGGGAGTACAGTGCGTAACAAAAGTATGTGCACACCTTAAATTTTTGTCCTGCAAAACTGCCATCGAATTTGCGATATGAGACCTTGATTGTTGAATTCCTCATAAGCGAAAACATAGGAATACACTACTTCTGAGCACTTTGTGAACTACTGTGCAATTATTTATACTACATTTCAGCAACATTTGACATGGTGTCTTCGTCGTTTTCCTCCCATTCAGCAACTACCGCCTCCTTGAAGTCTCGCACGCTGTTGTAGTGCCGACTGTTCATGTAGATTCGTCCAAACCAATGATCCCCAACAGGGAATGGGTTGACAGGCCCATGGAGAAGCACGCCGGGGCCAGTCAACACTTTGATTACCATTCGCGTTGGAGTCATTTTCCTAGTAAGAATTTGAACATGCACGGACCCATGTTCTCCGCCGCCTGCATCTATATGTGTCCTTCATCGTGGCCCGCTCAGAAAACGCAAGAGTTAGACTCAAGCACTCCTTGGTATTCCTGACTGTTCATACAGCACGATGGGAAGGCAAGCTCCAACTTTCCTCTGCTTCCAAAACCACCCCGTACCATCAAAGAGGCGCCCCAAATTCGTCTCGAGAACACCAACGGATCGCTACAAAGGCCTTTCCAGTGATGCTGATATCCATCTGGACCGTCGAGATTGACTTTTTCTTATCAGTGAAGATAACCTAAGAAAGAAATGCGCATAAGATGTTGCCTTTCTGATTTTACAAATATCTCAAGAAACTGCACCTTGTCCCACGACGTCGCCATGTTTGCACGCGCAAAGTTCAGTCTTGCCAGCTGGTGCTTGGCAGTCAGACAGGGAGCTTTCTTCATGGTCTCTCGAGTGATGTGCTCACTTGATCGAATAGAGCGCCATATTGTCATTTTTGAGACCGGTAGATTCATCGCGGCATGGATCTGTGCCACAGAAAGCGGGGAGTTTGAGGCCATTCTTCTGATGTCTTTTGCGGACAAAGATCGTGGGTGCCTCGAAACAGGTACTGAGTGGTAGCCATCAGGATTCTGGAGGTATATACCAACGCACGTCGCCGAAAGTCCAAGCTATCTTGCAATTTCTCTATTCGAGTGTCCTGCAGCACTGAAAGCTCGAATCCGAGCTTGTTCGTCTTCGTAGGGAGGACTACCACGACGAGGCATGAGTACAGGTTAATGGGGACTAGAGACCATAAAAATGGATTGCAGATCTGGAGCCAAACTTTGGACTTCCTCAGGTGTCCACATACTTTTGTTATTAAGAAACTTTTTCAAAATAAATAATTGTACAGTAGTTCACAAAGTGCTCAGAAGTAGTGTATTCCTATGTTTTCGCTTATGAGGAATTCAACAATAAAGGTCTCATATCGCAAAATTCAAAGGCAATTTTGCAGGACAAAAATTTGAGGTGTCCACATACTTTTGTTACGCACTGTAGTATCCAGAGCCACAACAGGAGAATCGTACTGACGCTGCTCATTTTCACAACGCCACGATGTGCTATCGCTCCCGCTTACTCGGATGAGTGAGTGAAGAATTTTAATCTTTCCACTGTTGGGACAGCTCTGCCAAGTCATGTAAATCAATGAGAATCTGAAATCTGTGCTTCGCCTCGCGAATTTTTCCCGATGTTGGTTTAGATGAAACACTTTTCAGTCGTTTACTTCATGCTAACTTACATACTAACTAGCATACTGCTCTACTAAGAATAAAGCAGAAGGATCTTAAGGAAAAAAGGATCTCAACTCACTTGAGCAGTAAGCGCAGCCAGTTGCTTTGCCCTTCGATATCGACGCCTCTGTGACTTGTTCACCATGGTCCCATTGTGGTGCTTGAGGATATGCTCCTTAGAAAACACAGATTTTTTTCTAAAGATATAGGTGAGATGAAATAAGATTACCTTCAATTTGTCACGACGACTGGAAGCATAATCACAAGCGTCACATTTAAAAGGTTTGTCTTCGAGATGAATCCGTTCATGGCGAACCAAATGCGATTTTTCAATAAAGCCTCGGCCACAAATCTGCAATACGTGACTCGGACTTTAGTGAACCTCAGTCTCCAAAGGAGATATGAACTAACTTTACACATGTGCGCTCGAACAGCCATGTGCGTCCTCAAATGTGCAGCCAATTGACTTCTTTCTTTTTGTAGGTGAGAATAGTCGACATTAGTCGCAAGGGAAAGAATATGCAAATCCACCTGGGAGTGAGAAATTTATTCAACTGCTCTACTGTGAGGCGTGCATTCATACCTTATGCGTGCAGCGTCGCACAACAGGACGCCCCACGAGTGCCAGCCGAACGTACGAGATAAAATATGTACATAGTTGATCTACGGATGCCAGCCGACTACCTCGGAGTTAGGAGTCGTCACCAAACCGCGTTACTAGCATACGTTTTCCGACGGGCAGTTTGGCCTCAAGTTCGAAAACCCCCATGAAAATCTATTGCTGTATGCTTCGGGTGGACGCTCGCGTCGTCGCTATTGACACCTATTGACTGCCTAGTCCATCGAGATCGCTGGGTAGGCGCTGGCCGGTTCGCTAGTCGATATCGTAAATTTGCCGGATGTCTCGGCTGCGCTAGCGTAACGCTTGAAAACGGTGACGTGGACAGCGACGCAAAGCAATGCACGTAGCCCTAACAAGGCGATCAATTTAGACTGTGCGCGAATGAAAAATAAACGGGCTTTTACCATAGTGTGGCAACTGACTTAGAGAGTAATTCGTACCTGATCAAAAATACTTAGCTGCCTTCGATGTAATGTCATTAGGATCCGTCAGTTTGAGCGTAGAAATGACCAAATCATCCAAACAGAGACCTATGATGGCAATCCTCAAGCATTATCGCGAGCGCCGATCTCAAAATGACACTTTAGTGCTATCTTTGACGTCATTAATCTTGATAGTTTGTGGTAAATGTAAATATCTAGTGACGAGAAACCAACTAAGCTGTGAATGTGCATGCTCCTAATTTTTTTTCGTCCTGAACTGAGATTTGGCAAATGCTCCTAATTTTTTTTTGTCAAGAGCGAAAATAATTTTTTACCCCCGAAACAAAAAAATAAGCGTAAAAGTTACAACATTCTAGCCTACCGAGGTTCATCATGTGACGAAAAGTGCATCTCTAACGCGGTGTGGGTATTGAAACCTCGACCGCACTCCTCACAGTGAAGAGGTCGCTCATCCAAGCTACTATGCATCCGTTCATGAGCCCAAAGTTGTGTTCGTGTACGGGCCCGGAAATTGCATTCAAGGCATTTGAAGAAGCGCTCGTTTGCTGAAATATATGAAAAAAATGTATGGACGCATCTCAACACAACAAAATGTGACATTTTTAGTTTTACGAAACGTACTGTGTTATCATAAGGATGCTTGATTATGGGCAGAATATTCGAACTTAGCTGGACTCGAACTTGCGCGTAAGCAAAGCAAATACCGTGCTACCAAACATGCCGCAAGACCTTCGATCGTTCAGTTTTAGAGACAAATTTTTCACAGCTTTTTATCATCCAACGGTCGGCTCGCCGGCAGGGGCTGGCTTTGCCACACATACCTTCTTTTGCATGTTTGATTACTCAACTAATAACCACCTTTTCTGTATCTGTATACATGATCATCGCTCCTCAACCAGTAGCATTATAAATGCTACTTTCAGAACTGTTACCGCCTATGTAGTGGTAGCGAGGAGCGTTGTTGAAGCGCAGAGATAAGGTCGAAGCCGGTCATGAGCGTTCAAATTTAACACATTGACGACCGCGTGAGACACATTGAATGCACGCGTTGTAGGCCATGTGGGACCGCGTGCATACAATACGACTCACGATCAACAAATCCATATCTTTCACAGTGCATGGTTTTTTAATTAGTTTCTCCTTATACATTCTATAGTTCAGACCCTGGTGTACTCGTACTATGCGTAGTCCATGGAATAATTCAGTACACACTAGTTTAGCAAATACTTTTTGGGTAAAGATCACCATTTGCTCGGATTGATTTGCTCTTCAACACTGGAATGGTTTGCTCTCCAACACTTAACTGAGAAATGCTGATCGATACAATGTTGATAATGATAAAAATTATAGGTGAAGGATTCTGAACGCTATAGAGGGCACGACTTTTTTTATGAAAACATTGGTTGCGGACGAATTTCTGGCATCTAGTGCAACGAGAGTTAGCCAGCCAGGTTTTTTCTATACTGAAGTATTAACTTACTTCATAACTGCGCTCTAATCCAGTTTTCCGATCCAATTTCCAAAAAAGCGCCTCGTGGGACCGTGTGAACTGTGTATGTACCGTTGCCTTCGAAAAAGCGCGCGTGTCCCACGCGGCCAAAAAGTAAAAACGCGCGTTGCCGTCAACATGTTAAGAAAGAAGATATGTTCGGAGAAGCAATGCTTGTTAAGCAAAGCCGGGTAGTATCACAGAAAGGAAGGTGCGAAGCTATCAGCCGTTTCTCAAGCATCACATGCGCTGAGTAAAACGCTTACAAAAGCCAAAAAGTGAACGTGTCTCAGGGGAATTCCCACCTTCTGAACACACGCATCTCAACTGCTTCGCGCGAAAATGTTTGGCACGTGTGCTGTGGCAATAGTGGCTCATCACGGTGCTTGTGTTGCGGGTGCCAGGTCTTTTCGCTTCGAGTGGATGTGGTGTTCATTTTCAG